GGAATTCCTAGGAATTCCGAGTCCGAATTACCGTGAAAATTCACACCTTAGATTCCTAGGAATTCCTAGGAATTTTTTCCTAGGAATTCTTAGGAAATTTCTAGGAATTCCTAGGAATTCTTAAAGTTATCTCACAAGGGATACGAGCATCCAATATAGTTTTGTTGCCACCAAGTGGTTGTGCCTCTTGTAACCTCCACATAGAGAAAACCGCACTGGCACTATCACCTTCAAACTCGTCTGTGGTGATGTCTACAAAATTGACCCTCAGTTCATTTGGCCATGCAACCAGATGAGAAACTATGATATCAAGATCAAACAGCTGATTAGGTTGTAATGGCCATGGGAGGGACCATTCCACATCTTCTGAAATAAGAGCATAATACATTTGAAGCACCTCATTGTCATAGTGCAGTGCAGCCATACCACACTCCAGCAAAAAAGATATAAACCTTTAATTGAGATTTTCAATTGCAACTGAACATTGTAGCTCATTGCATAACACTTCTCGTTGTTCTCTCCTTAAGCCTTCTCCTCTACGCATATAATTATAGCCTGTTATAACATGTACATATTTTTCACCCCACACCCCAAGCTCGGTAGTGGCAATTGTGGATCTTTTCTCAGTTTTACCCTATGAATGCTACAATAGTCCACCAGTCAACGCACTTTTTCCTGCCACAAAACACACACAGCCTCCTTGACCAGCAAGGATGTAGACCAGAGAGGGCAAATAGACTTTTTATTAGGTCGCAATAAACCCACCTTGGTCATTCAGGGTAAGGGCTGCCCCTGAAGGCTTTATTTCGATGCAATAAAAAGTCTATTCAACTCCTCCCCCCAGTGTTGCTTATTAAAACATAGCGAGGGCTGAATAGAAGCTCCTTTTGTTCTTTCATACTAAAATAGTAGAGAAGGCATCCCCACAGCATGGGAGGTTTTCCTTTGCTTTGACACGAAGTGAAACGTGCACAAATGCTCCACGAAAACATCCACGCAATGCAACATAACTTAAGAAGGATTACCTTGGATATAAGGCCTATATGGGGGGTTCACTCTCTTACCTTGATAATCTCTTGGTTCCTGTTAGTGGATATTGACTGAATTAAAACTATACTGAGATTACAATGATTGAAATTCACTTGGTGAAAGTTACATGTATTTGGACTGCATGATATTTGTATTTCGAAAAATCTGTGTAGAACATTCAAAAAACAGAAGAACATGCCTCTCAGGCCATGTGTCACATGAACTCTTGTTAAAAGAAGCAAAAATAATGAATTAACATAGTTTTGATTCCAGGGTATAGATGATCTTTTCTTGGTATTTTAAGTTTTCTGTCTCTCCTTTAGCTACTTGGCATCTTCAATAGCTTGTATATACATATCATTGGCCATGATAAATAAAAAGTTTTTTGTGTGGGATTCTTGCAATGTTTTTGTTGTTGTTGGACACACAGATCTCCTGTTTCTGTTTTAATTTTAACTTTGGAACTCCAAAGTAACAAAGTCATGATGCAGTCTTTATTGTTCTAAACATAGTAAATAGAGGGAAATGGCTAAGGCCAGTAAACATCAAAGAAGCAAACAAACAGGCTAAGATTTTTTGGAATGCCCTTGACCCTGCTCATCATTTGTTTTATGCGTATTGACTATGTACGAATTACATAATTGCAATGCTTCTATTGGTTGGTTGTATGAGCACACATAACCACCTTTTGTATTTTGCCAGGTTTTGTGCAGGGTTAATCCCCAAAATAGCCAACAAAAACATACAACAAAGAACTTTGCCAGGTTTCATAACCATTTCCCTCTATTAACTATCATCTAAGCGTCTGTCAATGACACATTGAAGGGATTTCAAAAATTTTTCATTATAGACCTTCAGCTTGGTAATGGACTGTTATGATGGGATTTAAATATCTAATGCTAGTTGCTTTGAGCAATCTGTTCTTCACTAAGTATTAAGTAATATATGTATATCAAACATGAAATATTGTGCCTAACGACATTCCACACACTGAGAGCATTGAAAAATGATATGATGTGCCGTGGATGGAGTATTTTTGATGAACTTCAAGGTGTTTGGAAATGTGGTGATTAAAACACTGGCTTGAGTGTTAAAATTAAATCAAATGGTAAGGTTACCTGGTTTGACAGTAATTTATTGTTGATTTCAGAGGCCATCTTCTCGTAAGTATGGCTATTTGCCCAGATTTCCCAGAATACAGCTACTTCATGAACTGCTGTGGCAGCTTGTGTATGGTCAATTTGCTCGCGAGGCATCAGATGTAACTGGTGTGGATGAAAGCAAAGCCACTGCTGGACAAGAATTGCCACTTGACTATGATAATCAAGTGAACAGAAACTTGGATGATGATCATGAGTGGCTCAAGCACTTGAAGCCAATGCCAAAACTTTATGACGAGGCAAGACAGCCACTACATGGCTGGTTCCGTATGGCTGATGTGTTATTGGTGATGCCTTTAGAGATATTTTGCAGGATTGTAGATATTACAGAGGAGGTAAGAACAGAATAGATTGTTAAAAATGAGATGCATAATAACAATTTTTAAAACACAACTACATGTAGTAAAGCTGCACTTGGACAAAGATAACTTGTTTTGCAAGTAACGAAATCTACTGGTAATATGATGCACGCTGAAGGTAATGTAGTTATTGTTAATTTTAGTATTGTGGTTCTCAAAGTGAATGGAGAATCATTTTCCTTAATTGTCAACTTACCCCAAAAGAGATGATTGTATGGTTAAAGTGTTACATCGACCTTGTTAGAAAAATGGTTTAAAAGTTTCTTTTCTACCTCTTCCTTTATTCTTTCAAAAAAGATCCATGAAGTTATGGTGAAGACATGAAGGTATTTCACGAGATTGAGCACACCAGAAAATCGCCATGTTCTCGACACTTGGTTTCGGTTTTGAAGTGCACAAATCTTGTGAGCTTCGACATTCTGAAAATAATTGCAACTCATACTCATGGGTACTGGCATTAAAATTTAAGCTGATCGATGTGCATAAAATAATGTGACAGGTGAGTCTAACCTGTCCAACCAGGAAACATCAGAGATTGATCAAACAGGAAACAGATCTTCTACAGGATGCTAAGTTTTCGAGATGCGGAGGGAGTCTTTGGTCTTAGTGTTGTGGGATTCGGAGGGGGTCGTAGGTCTTAGTTTTTGAGACATCCCAAGAGAGAGAGAGAGAGAGNCGCTTATTCGAGGGAGGCGCTTAATCGAGGAGGGGCCCTTATTTAATTTTTCCCAAATCGTGGCCTGGCATGATCATTTTTTTAATACATCATCTGCACGCAAACAACAGCATAAGCTGCTTATCAACACAAAAAGCTGATCTTAAACTTTAAATCGCAGCACCGTTAGTACTTGTAATTTTTTTCAGAACTTAACGTGTTCACAAACTGAAACAATGCACAAATCTAATACTACACGACGAAAACTACACATCCTTTGTTGTCTCATTATTCGTCCACGAAATGGGGGGAGCGGAGGGGGGCGCTTATTCGCAGGGGGTGCTTATTTCAAATTTTGGCCAATTCGGCCATTTGGCATGTAACGGCTTATTGTGGATGGGTATTGATGGTTGATAGTAAAGTATTAATAGTTATTTTCCTTTTCAATGGCTGACGGGTAACCCTTCTAAAACCCTTGGATAAGGCCTGCTCCTTGTGCTTACTAACGACCTAACAGCAAGATCAGGCAAATGCCAAAGGACCTTAAAATTGATATTTTATGTCCAGTGTGAACAACAATGAATGAATGTATATTGGAACGTCCCTGGCAATGAAACAAAAGATACAGAGGTTATAACTTACAACTACTGTTAACAAGTACACCTGAAAATTTTCATAACTCCAAAAATCAATATTGCTTCAACGGAGGTAACATAAGGTAATGGTATGGGAGTTGGGTGAATCATAATTGATCATGGTTTCCGTGAAAAAAAAGTTTCCCACGATTTTTTTGTGTTTTAGAGTAAAATGGCTGTTTTCCCGCCGGATCAAAAAGTAAACAGCTAAAAGTTCATGAAACTTTGGTGTACATGTAAAAGAAAAGGGTAAACTGGATGTTGGAGATTTGTACTTATAAACTGTCTGTGCTTAGTTTCAGGTTGTCACATTATGTCTAAAACTTTTTTTTGATTTTTAAAAAACCAAGTTTTCCCTGGCACCGAAGTGCTTGATGAGGAAGATACAGAGAGAGAGAGAGAGTACCTATAATGATTGATGTTGTTGTTGTTAAATAGTACTTATTTGGAATAGGGCTAGTCCATTTTAGGGTAGTCCATTTTGGGGCAGTCCCTTTTAGGGTAGCCCATTTGGGCAGCCCATGGAATAGGGGTCAGTGTTTTGTCCATCACTGTTTGTGAAAGAGAAAGCAAAGAAAGGTTTTGCTTTACTTCAACTTCAACATCACCACCTACCTTGTGCTGGTTTGTTCTTTGTGACAGTCACAGTGAGCCTGTTTAATGTTACTGAAAATTTAGGATTGAAACTAACCAATTAAACAAAGACCAAGTTTCCTGAGTGGTGTGTAACCCTCCACAATTTTGTTAGATTTTGAATAATGATTTGTATTCTGCAACTTGATTGGTCTGTTTATTAAGAAGGTGGCCATTCTTTGTTCTCAGTTTAAGATCTGATAGTATGGTTTACTGTTTTAACTGGCCTGATAGTTAAACTAAGTGTTCAATTAATATACAAACATTGATGCAAAATAGAAGACTTACAAGGAACACAGTCTTCACTAGAAAATAGGAGGCATAACAAACTAGTGTGAAGTCAGATTAGTTGTTTTAGCCACATCTAATCCCTGAAATGTGAAAATTAAGTTTCACTGTGTTCTTCTTTTAGATTGATGGTTTAGATGAATATGCACTTGATCCTGTGAAAAAGTACACTCCTTTTTGTGATCTTCCACAGTCCTTGAGAAGCCAGCTCAAAGAAATTAGGTAAGGATACTTTTATTATCCAGTAAATCTTTTAATAAGCCATCTAGCTCTGTGTAAACAACAGTTATATAGTTTTAGACAATTAAATTTATATAGTGTCATTGTAAAGTGTACAGTCATTTGTATTTTGAAACCATTGGTATTTTATTTTTAATGGTGATATTCTATTTCTCAGCTGCTAACTAATAACAAAAAGTGTTCAGCACTGCTGTACTAATTGTGGACGCAGAAATAAGCAAACAAATATTGTAAATTAATCAGAAACTTGTTAAAAATTCCAACTAACGGGAGGCTGACCAGATGGCTATTTAAAAAGTATGGAGGAGTTGAATCTGGGACCACCAAGCACCAATCCATCCAGTGGCAGGGCAGGGGATCTGAACTCGGGACCCCTGGATTACAAATCCAATCCCCTAACCATTAGCTGGCCACGCCGCCTAATAAAAGTTTTGACTTAACACCATTAATGATTATTATATGGTTGTCTCCATAAACAGACAAGATGAAAAAAGTCAGGAAACATAACAGTGTCAAACACAGAACAAGTTACAACATAAAATGACAAAGTTCTCCTAATAGTAGTCTTGTAACCGGAAAAAGTTTTTCATAAGTCTTTCTTTAACTTGTGAAACTACATAAAGACCATCTGCTTTTTTCTAACCATTAAATTGTTTTGTAGTAATACCTACAGTGATTTTGAATTGAGCTGTGGGGATTTGGAGTAAAATGCTGTTTGTTTATCTACCAACCTCTCCTCACTTCACTGCACTTAACTAGATCTAGACATGTACAATACCGCTCAAAAGTAAGTTACCACCTTCTAGGGACATGTCTTGTTTCCTTCAAGACGCGTCTTGTTTCATTTGAGTCTTTTCTTATTTCTTGCGAGTAAGTACCAATGGCTTGCACTGTAGTAACACACAATGCCAGCGTTTGAATACTGAACAATGATGTGAGTGTTGAGTTTTACAGACTTGCACTTGCAAATTGCATTGAAGGTTGATTTAGTCGTGTGGTGAGATAAATACATGATCATCATGGGATATTGTTTATTGACAGCTGCCAAACTTTTAAAATTTTAAAGCCAAACTTCTTAAACATCATCTTATGTTAGTTATAGTACCACTGTAGATGTAAAGAAAATACTATGAAAGTTTGCAATCAACATTTGAATCGTTGGCATGCTTGCCTTTACTTAAAGTCTTGTGTTTGCAAATTGCATCGCAGGTTAATTTGATTTACCCGGGTTCAGATTAAGACACAATCATTGCTCGATATTGTTTATATATAGTGGTCAAATTTTTAAAATTGTAAAGCAAAACTGGTTGAACGTCATATTTTTTTGGTCATAGTACTACTGTAGATGTAAGATGTAAGTTTGCAATCAACATTTGAATTGGCAGTGTGCTTGTGTTTAATTTTGTGTTTAACTAGAGAATGTTGGTCTGTAAGCAAATACCTAGAAAGAACGTTCAGCTAGTTAATCGGCCTAGTGAATAACAAGTTATTATTTTACATGAATGTAAATGATTATGTTGTTCGGGTCCCCTGTGGTCTGAATTCATTGACAGTAAATTAAAAATAACAAACAGAACTTACCACTGGCGCAGAGCCTGAATTATTAAATTTTGCAAACCAAAGCGAATTTCCCTTTGGGCAAGCAAGAAGATTTTCATGAATGCAAACTGAATGCACAATTGCTTACAGGCCAAAATTTAAGCTTGTTCTTTTGTTTACGTTTTGAATTCATGCTGGGTTAACCTCAAAACATGACATGACAGTCATGGAAATGTATCTCATAGAATTTTTTCAAGAAAAAGAAAAATTATTCCATAACTTCTTTGATCTACTTGGTAATGGTTGTAATAGTTCATCACAGTTGCGTCAATAAAGAAACAACTGTTCTCTGACATTACGAGCAAACTTCTTGGATGAGGACATAGACTGCAAGCAGTCTCTCTTTTGCTTGAAAATCCGTGGGGAAGAACGCAAAGAAGAACGCAACACTTGCGAGTGGTGACTTGTGAGTGGTAGGTCATGAGTGCGAGAGGGTGATATGTGAAGCTGTGCATGTCACACTCGCAGCCACACTTGTTTTTGTTTCTTCATTGCGTTCTTCCCCACGGATTTCCAAGTGAAAGAGAAATGCTTGCAGTCTACTGAGGACATCAAGATCAAAAATGTTTAGCTGCTCTGGTGGAATCTAGAAGCCTCTCAAAGAACAATCTTGTTGATGGGACATTCCAGGACTGCAGACTTGGTTTTCAGCCTGAGTCTCCACACAAGCCTGTCTCTCTTGTTTGGTTTTACATCCAGGATGCGACCAAGGGGCACAAGTTTTCTACCATGAATACAATGTCTCCAGTTTCAAAGTAACACCGTTATCTTTGCAGTGATTGCCTGCTTACTTATTGGAATTAAACTCCCAGACACTGACTTTTGTAAACAAAATCCAACCAAATGGAATAAAACTAAGCATAACCTCACAAGTACACACTGTGGACCTATTTTTTTGTATGCTATAACAAATCAAAGTGGCCATGAGCCACTCAACTTGGAAAATTGATTATCTGTAAACAGTGACAATTTTGATGCCCCTGACTTGCAGTTTAATCCGTAGGTGAAGTTAAAATTAAAGTCCACTGGCAAAATACAACAGTAAGAGAATACATGAGGAGATGTAACAGTGTTGAAAACATTCATGAAGTTACTCGTGATCCTCGTCCAAGACAGTTACAAAGAAAGTATGGCTTTTTGTCCAATCAGCAAAACAAGTTTAATTGGATTCTCACATTCATTCCTATTTTTTCATTCTTTATTTTCCCAGGCAATTTTTGTGATCAGTGATTTTTTTCTTTCTTTGTTACCTTTTAAGAGATCTTAGAAATAAAAACTCTTTTATTCAAATCATTTCACCATGCCTGTATTCATCTTTAGAGTATTTAGTTACAATACTGTATAAATAATAGCGAAACGTGTTGTTCAAATTCTCCTCAATTCCCTTGTCTGTTTATTGTGCAACACTTTTAATCACAGGTTGAATTATAATTTGGAAATTCATACAGCTCATCAATTTTGTGATTTTCAACATCTCCTCAGTTGTCGGCTACTGAGTACAGTTAAATCTCTATAGGTGGATTCCTCCGGGAACTGAGCTACATGTATTCATATAATTAGTTGCTATATATAAAATCGTTCATATGAAAATCTAATCAATGTAGATTTTCTCCACGGTAAGATATTGAGTACTTGCGTCAGAAATTCAAAGAATAACTGACTTGACAAGGTGCAATCGATTGTAAAACGGCCTTGGACAGTGCGATGCTCAAAACCCAGGGGGGATGCTGGTCATCTTGGGTACAAATCAAGGATTCTGGTCTCTGCACTTAGGGTGTTGATGACGTCACCATTCTTAGCTGTCAAAGTGTCCTTTAGGGTGCACTCAAAGAAATAGTAGTAAAAGAAACACTCTCATTTGTTTTCCGCCGATCTCTCCAGTATGCGAGTTGGGTCTACAAGTGCACGTGGGATCCTTTCTTGAACAGTGGCTAGTAATCGAACCTATTTTTTTTAAGTGGTATCCGTTAGGGGTCTAATGAAGTTCGAGTAATGACCACATTAGTCTTCAGTTTTGCAACGAGCATCCCTGACCTTCTCATATGGGAGTTCCCGCCGGGGTTCCAAATGTCTAACAGGAAGTGACCCAGTGATGGAGTGAAATTGTCCCACCACTACAACTTGGTAACCTGAATACCTTAAAGCAAAAGTTTTCGTGTTTTTACTTTATTGTTTTACATTTTGTTAGGAAGCCGCAATCTGTGGTCACTAATGTCAACAATTGGATGCATTCTTTACTTCGATTCACTCTTAAAATGCAAAAGGGTTTCGTTTATTTATTTATTTTTTTAACGATTCAAACTACCAAAATATTTCATGTTTATTCACATTCGATCAAACTTTTGGTTGATACCTACGTGTAGCATAGTTGCAGTTATGTTTGATATGCACACCGGCCTCTTGCGAGTAATATAATTATTATTTACTACTAAATTCTTCAGTGATTCTTGAGAGAAATGAGAAGTATCTCAAGAGAAATGAGATTTGTCTTGCGAGAAATGAGGCAAGAGGTGGCAGCTTCCTTTGGAATGACACTGTATGTCATATCAAGTCACATCATGTCACATCTATCAACTCATGTCATGGCACTTAACATCACTTGTCTTTGAACAATTTGTAACCTTCAGCATCACATAAAAGTAGAATTGGGGGCAGTAGGTGGGGTAAACATTGGTATAAACATTTTAAGTTCCCATTATTCTTCTCATCCTAAGGTTGAGAAAATATTTCTTGTTTTAAAGTACATGTATGATAATGCATCCATTTTTCTGCTATTTCTTCAGGAGATACAAGCCAGCACCTCTGGAGCTTCTCTGCTTCCTGTGTCAGATGGGTTTGGTTACTCCTCTTTTTCCATTTCCAAGGGCATTTACCAATGTATGTACTAAAACAATGGCCATATATCATTTTTTATATCAAGGTAGAGAGGAGGAAAGTGAAGTTAAAACTCAGTGGCATTGTTAAGCAATGGCCCAAAATGTAATACTCATACAAGCTGTAAGATGAATGGACGGTTTTACGTTAATACTTAATGGTAGTGAACTCCTAATGCAGGGGTATGTAAGGAAGGCTGGCATCGTGTAGGTGGCTTTTGCAAGTAAACTTGTTGCGTGTAAGCTAAGTAAGCTGTATGTTTAGGAGCTGATTGATCAAACCATTTGGCCATTGAACTGTTGGAGTGAAAGTTGTTGTGTTCAATGCATGTTACAATGTGATTTTGTTTTGTGTTGCTTGTGTCAGTATGCAAAGAATAAAGCTGCTGTTGAACATCTAAACAGATAAAAAAAGAGTGACTTACCCCTAAAACAAGTCAATAATTTGGTGCAGGGTAAATTATTTTGCCTGAACTTTGTTGCAACATTCACTATCACCTGCAAAAGCCTTATTCAATGGTCAATGGGTGCAAAATGTCGAACTGGAAGTGAGGTAGTGACATTTGTGATGTTAATATTGTTAATATAGTTTAATGTAGCTGGCACGTGCTAGCATCATATCACATTGTACACTCGCTTATCGCTGTTAAGTTCGATCGTTTAGCTGTTTGCTCTCTTCGACTTGTACCGGTTCGTTTCAACGCAATGTCTTCGAAAAGCAAATCCAAACGCAAAAATAAATGTCCCGGTTGCGGAACACCGAAAGATAAGCACGATTTTGCAGCAATGGGAAAACACTGCGAAGGACCCGAAGNACACACTTTATTTCTTTGTCAATGTTATTTAACATGTCCCTTAATTTGATCAAACAACTGAATTAACAATGTCCAAACAAACAGAAACGCAACTGATTATGTAAACAGTAACAAGAAATATGTTCTCACAGTGTCTACAAGGCATGGTTTGTAGCTCATGCTTGAATTCAAGTCACGTTTTTAGTGGTCAATTGACCCCATTATCCATGTACATTAAATATTCCTTTCTGCAGACTCCAAAGAGAAAATATTGCCGTTTAGTTTCACGACTGATGCCGTTTAATTGTTTGCGTAAATGTCTTGATACAGATCAACAGGTGGTAGCACTTCTTTTCCAAAGGCGACAGTAAGAATGGTGGCATCTACCAAGAACGTTGAAGCAATTGAAAGGTTTAAGCAACTAGTGGAACAGCACTGCAAGGAGCCAGTAAATGGACAGTTTGAGGATTGTACAAAAGAAGTGCTCCCTGGAGTGGAGACGGAAAGCAGTAGTGATGAAGAGGACCAAAACATTACCACAGAAAAGTTCAAAATGATTCTTACAAACGTATGTAATGGTAATAAAGTCACTTTTTTAATTATTGACATAATGTGAGTCACAATTTTCGCGTCACTTAAATTTCATGATTTTTTTTAAATCGCGAAATTCGCGAAATTAACGTGTCGTGAAAATTTCATGTAATAAGGTATATTTTGCATGCCATTATAATTAGTTCCAGTTAAGTACAAAATTGTTCCTTGGCCAGTTGCGGTGATTTTTCCACATTACCATGCATGATAATCAACTCCAAAGTGGTCCCTTGTTATTGCTAACAGCTTTACAGAGGGATACAGACTTGAAACATCTGCTTGTTTAAAATAGCAGTAAGCAAAGTGGTCAAGAACATTGCCAAATGAATGTGATGAATAATTTGGCCTACGCATATTTAGACAACCTAATGATGTAATTCCATATAGATCTGTAGCCAATTGCTACAATCAACCTGGGGTTTCGACCAAACACTGAGCCCCATTCAGCTGACCCACTACTGAACCCCTTACTAACCCCCCTACTGACCCCCTATAAAATCGAAGGAAAACAAAACTTAAAAAAGCCCAGAACTATCAATGGGACAGATTCAAGTTCACAAATAAATTTAGCTTACCTGAAATTTCCAAGATGGCAGACACATTGCAGATTTCCGTCTCGTCTCCCTTGATTTTGTAGGTTTTGTTTGGCAAAAATCAAGCATAGAATAAGTTGGAATATCACCAAAAGTGGTATTCGCATCCATTAGAAAATTAAGTGATGAAAGTAACGAAGAAACTTTTGCAAAAGAACACTCACATTTAACCATGGGCAACATGAACATGTGATACGTGAACATCAACCGGAAGTTGTTGTTCCAGTCTCTTGCCAGGAAGTCTTCAAAAAGATCACAGATTCTCAAGCAACTCAATCTCATTTAAGTGATGTTAATATTGTTAATATAGTTTAATGTAGCCGGCACGTGCTAGCATCATATCACATTGTACACTCGCTTATCGCTGTTAAGTTCGATCGTTTAGCTGTTTGCTCTCTTCGACTTGTACCGGTTCGTTTCAACGCAATGTCTTTGAAAAGCAAATCCAAACGCAAAAATAAATGCCCCGGTTGCGGAACACTGAAAGATAAGCACGATTTTGCAGCAATGGGAAAACACTGCGAAGGACTCGAAGAACGAGATCCTGATAGCGACGGCACCATGGAGGAGTCGCCCGTTGAAGAGGAGAAACAACTCGCTNACCCCGTGTGCTGTTCTTCTTGTGGTAAGGGGCAGGGACATTAAGTGATGTTAATATTGTTAATATAGTTTAATGTAGCCGGCACGTGCTAGCATCATATCACATTGTACACTCGCTTATTGCTGTTAAGTTCGATCGTTTAGCTGTTTCCCTTAACCCTCCCTACCCCTAGCAGTTTGTTTTGTGTCCCAATATATACATTACATTAAACTGCTCGTTTGAGGCCCAACCCCGTGTGCTGTTCTTCTTGTGGTAAGGGGCAGGGACATTAACTCCAATTTTCAACTGGTGATTATTAACAGGAGTCGTATTTGATCTTTTTAAACCTTACGTTACCATCCTCCACCACCTTTGCAAGACCATTTGAGGTGGCCCCATTTCTGGCAATACTCGCAACCACCATGGAAAGCTATCTATTTGTTGTCATTGTACTATCAGTTAAACATATTTTAAAACCCAGTCTTGTGGGTTTTTTTTGTTATTTGCTGAAAATGTACGCTTATCATTCTCTTGAAGCCAATAATAAACTCATCAATGCAAAAAGCAACAGGGAACCTGGGATGGATGGCGCTGAGGAGAAATCAGACTGTGGGTTCATGTTTACAAGTACAACCTCTGTGACACTTTTCTCTAGAATATTTCTTTGTAGGTCAGTTTAAACTTAATGTAAAACAATAGTTAAAGCTATCTTTATTTACATAAGATTTATGATAAAATTTAAAAGCATAAAGTATAAAGAAAATAACTGATTATCATTTCAAACTTAGAGGCAGTAAAGCTATTACAGTTTNATTGTACACTCGCTTATCGCTGTTAAGTTCGATCGTTTAGCTGTTTCCCTTAACCCTCCCTACCCCTAGCAGTTTGTTTTGTGTCCCAATATATACATTACATTAAACTGCTCGTTTGAGGCCCAACCCCGTGTGCTGTTCTTCTTGTGGTAAGGGGCAGGGACATTAAGCTTACATATCTTTGACAAGATAATACAAAGTCTTACTTTATAAAGCAGCTAATTAGAATTGGGACACTTCTTAATAAAGAAAAGTACTTAATAAATTAGAAAGGTCATATGCATGTGCTTATCAAAAGCAGGGCACTGAATTGAATCGTTATGATATACATGTACTGCTAACACAGAGTGTTAAGATGTAAATTCTTGGAAGGGCATTATATACACTGAATTGAAATGTGTGAAAAAGGCTGGGTCTAGTTGTTCAGAGCAATGCCAATCCAGGATTGGCATTGATTATAATTATCATTATTTTTGTGGCTTGTAGGGAGGATTTCTGGTCTTATTTTTTATCCTTCCGTTTTGACTTTGACTGATCTTGAACTTTACAAAGCAATAGCAGTGAAAAGCACCTACGCACAAGAAAAATTTAAAACTTGTTTAATCCTAGGTTTGTAATAATCAGCTTTTGAATGACTGAGCTGCAGTGTAGGAGGAAAATATAGAACATTGTAGTGTTGTTGGCCTTTAAATCAAACCAGCAACCCAGCATTTTGTGAAGACGTGGACACTAAAATCAATTTAAATGTATCTATAGGTAAAACTACATGTATGTGTTCTGTTGTCCCAGAAGTGTTCAATCTGCTGCATGATCTTATCACACTATCCTGAATCATTCCCTATTAACCATAAAAATGTAAGCCTAACCCTAAAATTAATTAATACTGATGAGACCACATGTATAGCCCCAAAACACTAACCTGCTACCTTGTTTTGCCATGGTACTATTTTTTTTTGTTAAAAATTTGACTCTGAGGTTGTTAACTTCCTGCATCCAAACATTCTCCTTTCATTTAGATAATTATATGCTTGCTCTTTTTGTTGCGTTGTTACAGATCAAGATGTTTTTAAGCAAGGGTTCAAAATTGCTGGACACAACAAAATCTATCCCCAACTACAAAACTGCCCGTCCACCACCAGGGAAATCGTTTGTATCTCGCTGTCACATGTTCACAAGTATGATAGCTGTGCAGAGTTTCTGGAGTGACTTGAAATGTGTTTGTCTTAATACGCCATTGGGTAAGTTTTTTAGATGGTCTTATTGTTGTGGCTGAATTGTTGTGAAGCAGTCATATCATCAAGAACAAAACCAATTGAATTGGTTTCAGGGTTAGTGAAAGTTGACGATGGATCAACAACCAGCAGTGACAAAGTAACTTTTTCCAACAAACATAAGAGGCTTATTCACTATGCCACAGAAGAAGTGGATGAAAATAAGGTTGAGTTTCCACCTGGAGACCAGCTAGGTGCTGCAGGATTGGACAGAGGTTTTTTCAGTCATTTGAAGAAGAACTGGACAAGAGTGATGACATCCTCATCCACTGCGCAACTTAAACGGTCAGTTTTTTCATTGATATTAATATCAGGGCTCGAAATTGCGACTCACTGGTCGCCAATGCGACCAAAAATTGAGCACTGGCAACTAAATTTTCAGAACTGGTCGCCAGCTGGCGACTCGCGTTTTGTCCGATAACTAAAGAAAACCATGACACAACTTTTGTTTTTAAATCTTTATATTAGGAAATCAATCAGATATGATAGCTAGTATACAGCTCACTTTTCTGTCCCCAGTAAAAAAATGTCTGAATATTACAAGATAATTGAAAAAATTGAATGTATTTCAACATGTCGATACTGCGTTCACGGCGCGCCGTATTGTTTCAGCGGCTTCTTCCGAAACTGGGATCGCAGGCGCACTTCAACACCATGTGCTTTTCACTTGCCGCGAGAATGGCGGCAGCTACCAATCAGTCGAAGGAAAGGCGTCAAGGAAAGCAAGTCGAAAATAAAGAACGGCATTTCGAAGAAGCAGCAAAGGGAAGATACGCAAGGACCCATCTTTGTCTCACAATGAAAACCACGGACTTGAAACGTTTTATGCTTCGCTTCATTTAAAATGACTATGGAGACAACCATCACCTTCGCACCAGAGACATATCACCTAAGAACAACAGTAGCTTTATAACTAAATGTTACTCGTGTTGTTTCTAATTGTTTTCGCTCTTCGATTGTGACTTTTCTTGCGTCCAAAGTAACGTATAAAATCGTGTTCTTGTGTAAGTTACATATAAAATAAGTTGGCGACCAAACTTTACGATCTGGCGACCAAAATTGTTCCATTAGTTGCCAGAGGGCTTCCGAATGAAAAAGTTAATTTTGAGCCCTGAATATATACACCGTTTTGGATGGTTTGACATGTATACATGTGGATATTTTTTGAGTTGCCTAGAAAGAAATACAAGCTATTAGAAAAACATGTCTGCATACATTATAATTTGTAGACCATTGAAAAGACGATTTATCATAATTCAAATAGTGTGTCAATTTTAACTCGTGAATGCATAGGTACATGTGTGAGCAAGTTGTAACAGTTAGTTGGGGAAAAAATGACTTGCTCACTCAATTGTTTCTTGGTGATCGGGGATGAGCCAGAACTAAAGTTTTATGTTAAAACTGAACAATGGCATGCAAAACCAGCTGGACAATATTTTTGATCACTCTTGTCAAGTATTATATAAACATGTCCCTTTCAAATATCACCTTATCATGCATGGTTAATTCTTAGAAACCAACTACTGCTTATACTTAAAGTATGGAGATCACCTTGTGAATTCACATGTTGGCTTTAAGAGTCTTTGATCTAGTATTTTGATTTCTACATATAGTTCAATCTTGAAATACATCCTGTATCTTCCAAAAATTGTACCAATCACATAAGATGTGTGCAAACGACAGAAACAAAATACAAATCTACAATGCAGTATGGGCTCATGTTTTACACATTTTGTGACCTATATGGTAAAATTGCATAATAGTGGAATAATATCACATACAATATAAATAAAGTTGTCTCATTCATAGCCCCTTCCTTCATAAAGAGAAGGATTCAGGCCAAGATTGAAATTGCCCTGTTTGGTCAACTACAAACATTGTGGTTTTGGTTGATTGAATTAATAACAAATTTGAGAACTTTTTCTGTCTTTTACATTCTTTCTGTGGTGTCATTAGGATTAATAAGGCAAAATCGAGAATCTTGAGCATGGTGTCAACAAAATAAATTTTAATTCGTTTTTGTAGAAAGTTGCCCACATCCACAACCATTATGGCAGCTGAAGGAAATGCCAAGAATTCAGATAGTATTGTTACACAAGAAGGCACTCCTACAACCTTCTGGAGCATAGGCAGAGCAGAAATGAAACAGCAGGCCAAAAAAGAAAGCATCAAGCAGCAGAAAAAGAAGCGTAAAAGAAAAGCAGAAGGTAATCATCGGCTTTGTGGGAATACGTTAGCTGTCACCAACAGTATCCTTTTAAGATGAACTACTGATACCCTCGTTTTATTATAGCATTAGCTATAAAAAGTAATTTAAAATTAATTACAAAAGATGATGATGGTCGCAATGATCATGTTTTATGTCATGCCCTGCCAGTTTTTGTTCAATAAACAAAGTTAGTATTTTCATCAAGGATTGCTATATAATGCATTTATAAGGGCAAACCAGTTCACAACTTCTGTCTCTCTGGTACTTTAGATTTGCAGGAAAATGATGCAGAACCTGGTGGTGTTAAGAGAACCAGAACTGTGGAATCAACTGAGAAACAACAACAAGGAAGTGTTCAGGAGAGGTCAAAGAAGGGACAGCATTCTTCTAAAACTGGGCATCTGAGTAAGTTAAGTTAAGTAAATGATACATTGTTTTCATAGCACTACATGTATAACGGGACTTGAAGGCATTTTTGGGCAGAGCTTTGAGGAAACTATTGATTGCATTAGTGTTTATTTAACACATAGTACTCATTGCAAACAGTCTTTGAATGTGAGAAAAAAACATTTTTTTTTGTTAAAAAATCCTGGGTTTGGAATTAAAGCTTCTGTCTTCCAGACAGGCTGCCTTCTCATGGCTCTGATCTTTATCTGCCCTGAACAAGCATTATCCTTGGGACATGTACCACAGCCAAATAACCTTACACACCAATAGGTCTGCAAACAAATTGCATGGCCCAACAATGAGTATGATGCTTCATACTATTTGAGACCCTGGCCATGCCAAAACGGTTTCTGGAGGTTTTGAATTTAACACCAACCCTACCTCTTTGGCACTACAAGTGTAAATAACAAGCTACTTTCATGTGCACATACATGTACCAACAAATTAAAGGTATGTTAACTGGACAGTGCTACTCTTATCTTCTGTCATGATAGATGCTATTGATGAGGAAGACAGGAATATCTTAGCCAGAAAAGCAGTTGAAAGAATCACATTTTCTGCTGAGGAGGACAGCTGGGTTTAGTAGATTTAGCTCTCTTTTATCTTTGTTGATGCAATTTTAACTTTACTTAACTTTACTTTACTTATACGTTGTCAGTTATAAAATGTACCATTTGCTTGTGCTCATACTTGTCCACTGACCATATTTCTTATGTTTTCTCTCTTGCTCTCTTTTTCCAGTTGCTTCTGTTCCGTGTTGCACTTGGGGTTATGAAGAATGAAACATCTCGTTTTTATCCATTTGTCTGTATGAGGAATATCTTGCACAAAGCATGTGCGGTTTGTATTTCTCAACTTGAATACATTTTTTACTGTATAAATCTTTGTTTACGACCAAATGAAAAATGGCAACAGTAAACAAAACAGATAGTTTGCTTTTCATAACCAGGCTTCAGAGTCTAGTTGTTTGTCCTGGTCTCTTGCTGCAGCATCCAAGTATCCAAGAACTTTAAATAGTAGTAGTTTACACTAAAAATGTTTAATCTGCTCTCTGAAGGGCATATTCAAAATAAGATAAACTGTCCTTGTCAAATGACCTTAATGCCTTTAACAACTTCTCTAATAGAGCATTGTGATACTTTTTGTTTTGGAAATTTTCAGTGCTCTTGATCATTGATCATGATACTGCTACAAGGGTCAGTACATTTCGCTGACCTCTAGTCCATGGACTACCCCGATGGATGTGGCCCATGGACTACTTGAATGGACTACCCATGGACTACCCTAAATGGACCACCCTGAAATCTGTGGCAAACATAAATTTAACAAAGTTAGAACCCAAAGATGATGTGATCGATCAACAAACGCAATTACGAAACATTTGCGATGTAACAGATTTAATCCCCAACTGGACCTTTCTCACAAAATATTACAACCGAAATGAAGGAAATGAGTTACTTTTCTTGTCCCCTGCATATATAACACTGTTGAACCGTTATTTTCTTGTCACGTAATAACGATGTCATGACGACATCGCAACGTGTAAAATTTCTATCGCTCATTTTTATTTTGAAATGAGTATCTATATATTCCCAATTAAAACCCTGTCAAAGATGTTTTAATTTTAAAAGGGTCCTTTTTCTTAATTGTTGTTCCTCTCCAGTGATTACTTGTTTATACTTGTCTTGTTTGTAGCACTTCTGTATTTGGCTTCTTCAATGATTAATGAATATACAGTGCACCTTTATCAAAACAAATTGTTTATTCCCTATTACAGCATGGTTTAAATGTTTGTTTGAACAATTTAATTGATATGTCCCATGGGACATCAGGTAAGAAATGCATGTAAAGCTGAATGTGTGAAATCCCTGCAGTGAACTGGACATTTAACTTTTGTTGATGTTACTTTTTTTACAGTCCAGTATTGACAAAACAGCTCCTAACCTTCAGCGCAGGATTTTAAAATTAATGAAGAATCCTCAATCACAAATGACTGTGAAGATATGTACCACTGAATGCATTCATGACGAGGTAATTGTACAGAGTATAAGTGAGATGTTTTGACAATGTATTTGGTACTTGTTTATTAAGACATACCCTGTATGCAGACGTTTAGCTGCATTCTTATGCTGGAAATGAATGTTGATGAAAAACTGTTAATAACAGTTAAGTATATGTATGTTACATGTATATGGGAATTAAGTCTTTTAAAAGATTTTGATAATAATATTTTCTTTTATGGTGGTTGCTCAGGTAGTCTTGTGTTTGGCGTACTGGTAATCAAATTTCTCTTTTCAGTCGATGTCTGGTCATTGTTATAATATTCTAAGATTTTCTGTGGTCTTCAATTTCCCTTCTTGCATTTTTTGTAAATTATTGTTCAGTCTTACAGTGGGGCCAAAGTGCTCAGAATTTGTCATGATTGATGACAAAGTTTGATTAAGTGCCAGCTTAGGTTTAGCTTTGTCTGTGGTTGGCTTACCGGCTGCAGTGCCGTTAGGTGGTGTAGGCAGTTGTTTTGCTCTTGTTTCTTCAGGTTTGATAATCGCCAGCAAGAAGCTTGATTCAAAATTTAAAAAAAAACCTTCAAGGGATTGTTACACTTGCTATATATCAGAAAACGTGAAAATGTCGATTGGCTGCTTTCAAAAGCCATGGTTGATAACCAGGTATTTGACACAGAGTTTCAGCTAATTATGACTGAATTTTCACAGTATAATCTGCTAAAAGAAGCCATAAGGGCTAAACTGACTTGCCATCCATCTCGTAAAAAGATGACTGCCAAAGATGTTGAAAAAATAAAAAAGAGATAAGAAAACAGGAGCATGTGGAATTGAGAAAAAAAAACTGCTCTAACTACCGGCTTGAAATTAGATTTGACAGAATGAATACAGGATTTCATTTCAGCATGATAAAAAAATGTTCAAGCGCCAATGTGTGACACACAAGTGTGACGTTATGCTACATTACAGTGTTGCTGTCACACTGACATTGTGTAACACGTCATGAAAGGGGACAAAACCTTAGTCATGGGTGCTTAGTGGCTGTTCTTGCCTAACCCCAGCTAGGACTTTAACCCACTGCTGACAAGGAGGCTGTCGTTTCCATTTTAACCTCTGGGAATATGGTTTGAACCTCTGTGGGATCTCTGAGCACCCCCAGTTATCCACTGGGCCGGGGCAGGTTCACTCACAGCCTCACCCCTACCCCTAACAAGTGCCTGCATGTGCCGTATAAGGAATCAGGGGCAGCCAACCCTGAAGGGAAAACTCCCATATGAGAAGGGCAGGGATGCTTGTCAAAAGATTTGAATTTAACTCCTAAAGATGACTAATGTGGGCGTTGCTCGAACTTCATTAGACCCCTAAGAGATACCACTTAAAACAGAATAGATTCAATTACTAGCCACTGTTCAAGAAAGCATTCCGCATGCATTTGCTGACCCGACTCACGTACTTGAGAGATCAACGAAAACAAAATTAAAGAGAGTGTTTCTTTTATTGTTATTTCTTCAAGTGCACCCTAAAGGATACTTTGACAGCTAAGAACGGTGATGTTTCATCATCATCACCCTAAGTGAGACCAGAATCCTTGATTTGTAACCATGATGATGAACATCCCTGACCTTTTCATGTAGAAGTCCCTCAGGGTTTCAAACATCGTGCTGTCCAAGGCTGTTTCACAGTCAATTGCACCATGTCAAGGTAGTCATTCTTTGAATTTCTAATGCAAGTACTCAATATCTTACCGCAGAAATGATCTACATTGAACAGATTTTCACACGAACGTGTTTATATATACTGGTAGAAGCTAATTGAAGGGGTGAGTGCAAAACCATGCTAAGTGACGATTTGGGTGAAAAAAAAAATTTTCGCGAAAGGGCTTGAATTTTTGCATGTGGTCTTCAA